GACGGACGTCTCAGCTTTTGATTGACACCTAGTTTGGCCAATACGAGGGCTTTGGGGGTGAGTGACAGCCTGAAGGGCCAATGGAGTGTCTCAGACAGTCAACCCGGTACGCACAAGTTCCACCCTTGAAGATTCGACAGTCGGGTTGCAGACTTGTAGCCAATGAGCAGACGAACACATGGATGTGTCGGAAGGCAGGATTGTGTGTGTGTGGCGGTATCGGATCGGCCAGTTACCACTGTCCAGTATCGGCCCGATACCGATACCCAGTATCGGATCGGCGCATCTCTAGTTGTCACCCATAAAAAATTAATGTTAGTCCATAGATAGGGTGATTTCTCCACACTGGAACACATCCAGTCCTGCTGTACATGCAAAATGAATCAAACAGCTGTTGTGGCTACAAGAGAGTGCAGGTCCACCTCTTAAGTATATTTTAAAAGTTTGTTTCTATGAATGTGTATAAGCCTAGTATGATGAATAACTACTCTAAAAAACGAACACTAGGTCTGATCTTGTGCCATTTTTAAGATTACTTGTGTGTCATGAATATAAGTTGTCAATATACTGTATAGAAAAGCAAAAATAAATGTGGTCCTGCAAAATGAATCACACCACCACTGATGGAGTGAGATGTAATTTTGCAAACACAACACTGCCCTCTGTAGGTATTATACAAACACAATCACATGTTGAGTTTTAGGTTCATCACACAATAGCTGTCTCTTGTCATTTTAAAGATGCTTGAAAGGCATATTGTATTTAGTTTTTTGGGTTTTTTGCACAAAAAGCTTGAATAAATGTATGCAATAACTAGAAACTATTATTTTGTAGATTGAAAAAAAAAATATGAATAAGTGAATATGCAAAGAGTTTTGGTTTCTAAAGTTTAACTGACCTTCAAAACATAGTAGTTGTGTTGGCAAAAGCGGAAAGCACCTTGCAAATCAACATTTTATCACCTTTTCACTCAACTTATTTAAAATAAGAACCTAATGAGTGTGGATGACAGCACTAACAGTCGATCAAACACATTTTCGAGAAAGGGGAACTTTAATATTCACCATATTCGTCTGAGACACACTTTGAAGAAAGACATTTCAACAGCATCTATTTTTTACTTTCCTTCAATCAAAACAGACCGTTGAAATGAAATCGACATACTCTATTGGTAAAGTGAGAAGAGATACTGACTGACTGCTCATCATTCCAATCATCCCATACGTGTTTAGATGCATTTTCTTGCTAAAAACATCTGCATTTTATGTTTCTCTTCAGCTTTTTAACTGACTCTAGGCCAATTAAAATGTTTTGCAAATGCTCAATTTGGGCTTTTGAGATACAACTAATTCTGAACAGCCAAAAGAAAAGAAGATCCACTCTTTCCCACAGCCATTCTGTGTACAAACACACTACACATTTACACTCCACAACGTATTTACAATTTACGTACTGTAAATAGGCACATCATCTGTAGGAAGTGTTTATGGCTTTATTTTGAAATAATGATAACCAGATTATACTGTCACCCTGTGTTTGCATTGATGTTCTGATTGACTGAACTAAGGCTATTACCATCTGAGAGATACTCTTCTTATACGGGTTTGCATTTTCTTTGAAATCTACATTGTGGTAGGTTGCACAAACAGAAAAAAACTCCTTCCTCCATGAGATTCACATCCGTTATTTCAAGTTCTCAGCTGGATTTCCCAGCTTTAACTTACAGCTCCATGACAAGTTGCAGTTAAGGCAGTGTTGAAATGCATCAGACGGAGCTAGCAGTGTGTCCTGTGACTCTGATAAACGCTCATCCCGTAGTGAATACTTACCAAAGAGGCTCAACAGAGCTTCCGTCCATCAAGATGCAATACTGAGAGAAATATCAATGCCTACCATCCTGTCTCTCTCAGCACTGCTCTTCCCCCAGAGATGCTGCAATGTCACTGAAGTCCAGGGAGTCAGCAGGAATGGGAGCTTTTCTGCCGCTTTTTAGGCTCTGGCTGGAGTAAACCTCCACGGATTTGGAGATGGAGTGCACTGAGTGTTCCCGGAAATATCCGAAAGCTTCCCTTGCGTGCTCCTCCCGAATGCTTTGCTCGAAGGTCTTGCGTTTGTGCCTGAACTCAATGACGGTCTTGGTGTAGGAGTTGAGGGTGGTGACCGACGCGCCCATACAGCAGGTGAAGGATGCCCAGGCCATGCTGACCGAAAACAGAGCAAAGACAGAAATGAGAGAATTTCAACTGTGCTGTAAAAAACATGAAAATAGAAAAAGTCCATATTGCATTCTGACATTTTACACTCCATCCTTTGACACTGTATTTGGTGAGATTAGTACCAATCACCTTAATTCCCTCAAGCAGGCTCGGTCAAATGTGAAAGCAGACAATCAAATCATCAGTTTGTGTATTTATTTTATTTATTTTTTAACGCAGGTTGGTTAATGCCCATAAAGGGTCAAGAATTGTTTAGCCTCTAAAATGAATTTTCAGCATACTGTGTATACTGTAAAGGAGTGAAATATTATCCCCTTATGCAATTCCAATCACGCCTGTATCGGGGCTTTGGACACCAAAGCCTAATCCCACCATAACATGAAAGCTTTGGGCTTTTTTCATTAGAGACAGAGAGGTGAGAGCAGAGCTGCAGCTGACAATTTGGGGGCTGCAACATGCAGAATGAAATCCCTCGTCTGGTTTCCGAAAGGGTGAGTTGACTTAACTTTCTGTATTTAACACTTTAAATAACACAGATGGTATCGTGTGCGGAGTCCTACCAGAAAGACCAGCCATAGTCCCAGTTGTAGGGCCGCCAGTCAGGCGGTCCGAGGCTGACGGTGACCTGGAAGACCTGCGTGTACATCACATGAGCCACCATGCCGAGAAGACCTGCGATGACATGTGCAATAAATTGTTAGTAAGTTATCTGAATATACAGCACAAACAGGAGATAAGCCCAATAATTCTTCAGAAATGCAATGATTTGTTTCTAGAAATACAAACTAAATGCCTTTTTTAAGAGTACAGAAATATGAACATAGAATACAAACACAGAGAAGTGATGTAATTCCAGTCTCAATAGCCTCAAATCTCCATCCAAATAGCGTGTTTGTTTGGCTAAGATCTGAAAAACAAATCCCACTGAATGTGTGCTTTCTTCTTAAGGCTTGTCACCATGACTCATTCTGTTATCTATCACGCTCCAGCATCACAGATTTCAAATTTAGATTGGATTTATCCCTTATCATTACAAGAAAACCAAACAAATTGCTCCTTGGATTAGAATGCAATTTTCATTGAGAGCTCACATCTCTCACTTCATCCTCTAAATTAATTTTAAATGCAAATGGCCTTGGCTTTGTTACCGGTTCCCTGCTCATCACTAGATGGAATAAGATACGGTGTGCCGTACTTGAGGGTTTCAAAATAACACACTGTACAACCAGTCCTTGAAACCACAATCGAACACTTCACTGTACGCCAGTTCTAGGTACTGACCAATGAAATGTGTTTACCTGAGAGCACAGTGAAGACAGCAGCAAAGGCATTGAGCTTGAGTCCATCGATGACGTTGCTGGAGTGCACCAGCTCCAAACACATGAGGCTGAAGCCCACAACCAGCAGAATGATGTACAGCATCTCAGAGACCAGCGACAGCCACAGCATCCCTGGAAAATGTGTAAATTACACAAATAGCATAAAGAAGTTCAGGATTTTAATCTGTAGTTTAACGAGCTTTAGAGCAAAATGTATTTGTTGTAGAATTTCTGATGATAAATGGGAGAAGAATTCTTTCTTCATTTGAAAAATCTATTAATTGACATGTCAGTGGTTCGTTGGGCAAGTGAGAGATGGTAACATGTAAGCCTTCTTTAGCTTTCCAACAAATCTCATGACATATAATCACATGAGGGTCAGACATTGCTTCTTTTATTTGGTCCACCTCTCATCTTTCTTGCTCTTATATTATTTTGACAGTTCACAGATGAACAGATGTGAACATTTCCCAAAGGACAATTTCATCTCAGTTGAAAAGCCAAAAACTTAACAGCAAATGTGTGCACCATGATTTTATATGAAAAGAGACCCAAACTGAAGGTTAAATAACCGCTGATTTGAGATCTGGAAAGTTACAGGAATGGACCAAACATGACGCCACTGAAAACTTGCATAGCTCAATGAATAAAAACTATACATAAAAACTTAATTAAGTTCATGATAGGTTTCAAAATTTTATTCAGAACTTTTTTTTTTTTTTAAGTCTTTAGTCATCTTATAAATAATCACTTTAAAAGCTGGAAATTTCCCAAGTAGGATAAACTTCCAACTGTGCCATTGAAAAGAAACAGAAGTGCTTCAAGACATTGGGCTCCAGTTCTTTGCTTTAACATCTATTGAAAATCAGTTGCCATGGTAACACAGCACACCTCATTTACACAATTTTTTATTTAAGCAGGCCTTGGGTCTGAGAGTCTGACAAAAGCGCCTGAACAAATAATTTATTATTTAATTTGTTATTCTAGTCAGTTCATTATCATCACTGTTTAAATGATTCAAGTAAATTTGCACTGTTAACCTTTTGGTAAATGTCTGCTGTTTAACATATGTTAAATCAATAACAGGGACATGACTTGACACGTGTTGCTATTGCAGGATCAATGACTCCTTTAATGTAGGAAAAAACAGAATAAAGCCTTATTTGTAACCTTTTTTTAATACATGTATTCATGTGGACCTTTACATTTATTGCATACTTTATACTTTCTTAATAAGCTTGCAGAAGAGCTTGCAACCATGTTTGCTTCTCTGGATGAAGAACTGTGCACACTCACCTTTCTCTGATGGAGGAGCTAAATCGATGAAGCTTCGGCATCTCTCACCTAGCAGCAGAGCAGAAATAAATATCAAATCAAATCAGATTTATTGTCATTTTGCTGTACATACACAGTAATACAGGCAAGATGAGAGAGTGTTTCTTCAGGATCATTTATCATTTATTTAGTAAAATAAGTGTGTCATATATATATACTGTCATGACGTAGAGGAGCACATCAGCACCTTTACTTCCAATGCTTAATGCAGATTTCTCTGTGCAGCTGTTCAAAAATATTTGTTTGAAAGAGGGTCAGGGGGCATTGGTTTGGGATTACGAACAATAAATGGATAAACACTCAGCGCTGAACCGATACAGGCCTCAGTCTCATCCCTAATCTGTGTTTAAGTCCCAGTTCCTGTCCAGGTGTGTTTGACAGGATCAGCGGAGACAGAGGGTGACCAGGTGAATCCGCACAGCAGCGCAAAATCCAGAGTTCACAAGTTCAAAAATAGAGGAACTCAATGTTAAATATGAGGCATATGTCACAAATGCAGCTTTTTTTTAACCTCTCATTCAGTTTCACCAGATGGTGTGTTGGCAGAGCTGCTGAACATCTGCTTCCCGCTCTGTCGAATTACAGGTACATTTCACAGAATTACAATAATATCATAATGTTAAAATAACAATTGGATGCACTGTGAAGCGTCTCGTCAAAACCTTTGACGTGTAATGAGCGCTTGTGTAAAAGTGACCCTTTGACATGTGGTTTTCTCGCTGTCATCTGGATTTGTTGTAAGTGGAACGCTTTAATCAGGTAGAAGGAGGGTGGCAGCAGCTGTTTTGAAGAAAAACTCATCAAGGCCCCTGTTACATAATCCTTATTAACTCAAGCTGCCTCGGCCCCCCTGGCCTGCATTGCACAGCCATTGGTTGAGACAGAAATGTGTGAGTTGTTCCTTCTTCAATCATCTGAATCTGTGGTGTGTTTCTACTCTCAAGAATCTGCTAAATGTGTATTATCACTGCTACCTTCTGGAGGTTGGAGCAGCTCCTGATCAAGGTGTCTCACCGGAGAGGAGTAATCCGGCCTGATCACACCTTTGACCTGAACTTTTCGTGACCACAGCCACCCCCCTAACACACACATTACCTCAACAACTAATCTTCTCCTGTGACCCCTTTGCTGCTACATTTAAATGTGCGGTCAGATTGATTGAGGAGACAAAGTTTGTGTACACGACATTGTCTCCTACAGCAAGTTCTGCCACTGAAAATGCAATTTTCTTTGCTTATAGGAAAAACTTCAGACTGATGGCCCCGAGTGCTGTTGTTTGTGTTGCATGTCATGCCAGATATAAATAGATGAAGCAATTTGATAAGTAGACTGACACACATGGATGCCGATTATCCTGAAATTGAAATGAAATGGACAAAAAGAGCCACTAATCTCCTTTGAACTGAGTGTTCCATCATGACAAAGGAGGGAATTTAAAGGACAGATTTTTCAGAGGTGACCATTTCTTTGTTTGGCTTTAGATTTTGAACGGTGAGTCATTGGTTAGCCTGACAACAGATTGCTGAATGTTCAGTGTATAATAATAACAGACAAGTCTAACAAACATTGACATATGAGCAAAAAATGCAGCCATGCAAATGCAAAAACAACTTTTAGTGTTCCACAGGAGTCCCAAAAAGTCTCAAATGGATCTATGAGCATTTCAAATGTTAAAAAATTATAAAAAATAATACCACCAATAAACGAAAAAATAGGAAAATACCACTTTTCTTCACTTAAAGACAGTTTTCCTTATTACCATGCAACATTACAGTTCATAATGACGGTGAAATACCTCTTTAGAGTGAAATAATTGCGTCTAAATGTGTGGTAGACTGACCTCACCACCAAACACCCACGCACAACACACACACATACACACACACACCTACACACACACATACACACACACACACACACCTTCTCTTACTTTCATCGTGGATGTTTTCCTCGCAGGAGAACCAGATGCCGGTGTGGAACTGACGGAAAAGGAACCGGTCGTCCCCGGTCTCCCAGCTGTACACCACTTTGTTGGGGTCCGTTTCGTTCACTCCGTAGTCAATGCACTGGTGCGTCCGCAGCTTGCTGCACTTGGGTTTGGGGACTCTCTGGGTGCCCACGCACCAGTAGGTCGTCATGAACGCAGTGATGGAGAACAAGAGGGCGAAGAAGTTCAAGCTAACCGACAGAAGGCTCCTGCACCTGCGAGACGTCTTCATTGTCCGAGTGAAGGGTGCAGGATCAGCGCGCCGGAGACCAGAAAGTTCATGTGTGCCAAATGGGACCGACGCACGGGTCCAGGTTAATTCCCAAACGCGCCAGGTGAACTGAGGGTCCCATTTGGAGCTCTGCAGATCTCAGAACACAGACAGCATCTGCAGCAGCAGCTCAGCTGTGCGCCACAGTGTCACACATCCATCACATTCACACACGGTGTCCCACGAGCCTCCAGCCTATAGGACGTCACGTTGTCAGAGGATTTGACGCTCGCTTGCAACCAGAGTGGGATTTTCTTATGATGCTCTCACTCTCTGTGTGTCATTAGGATGCTTCCCTCCCTCCATCCCTCACAAACAACTTATCAGCTGCAAGAAGATTATCAGGCAGTGGAGGAAGTTACCACTCAAACATCCAAATAACGCACAATTCAATCATATCTGCAGCCAGAGGTTGCTGAGATTTAGGAAAACTGATACCCACCTACATTTATTTTCATTTAGACTGATTTCAGAATACTGCCCAAACTTTAGGACTGAAACACCAACTTTTTGTCCCTACACTGTAAAAAAAAAAAAAAAAAACACAAAACAAAACAAAACAAAAAAGTTAAAAATGGTGTAAATCTGTAATGTTAAAAACTGTGAAAATAATACCGAATATATGTGAAATATTGACTTTTTAGCTGATCAGTAAAACAGCCACACACTCTAAAAGGATTTTTGTAAATGTACAGACTTTTGGTGTGGATATTATGCACAGTTTTGGCCTGTTTTCAGTTTGTTTGTTTTTAGAGTCAACATGTAAATTACTTTTTTACTATGATTCTACTATTTATTATTTGTACATTACTAAAACAGGGAAAATAACATTTACTATTTTCCCATCCATAACATACATACATTTTGTTTTAAATAACTGTAAATATCTGGTAAAACTGTTTACTGATTTAAACACAATAAAAAGTGCAATTTCACTGTCAAACACTAAAATAACATAAATTACAATTGAAAAAAAAAGCAAAAACAAACAAAACAAGAAAACACATTTTTTAAAAATTAATTTATAAATGGATATATTTTTCCTTGAATTTACTAGGTATCGTCGGTGATTCAACAAAAATCTGTAAAATGCCAACAAACTGTCAAATTTAAATAAATAATACAGTCATCCGTTTAAAAAAAAACAAACAAAAAAAACATTCTTTTTGTACCAAACTCAACAAGTCCAAAGACTTGATTTGGTTTGACTCTTTGATTTGCTCAAATTGTATTTTTTTATGTAAATTCATGATAATCACCTTATTTATTAAGTACTTTTCAAAGTGCTGTTTAAATTTAAAAACAAAACAAACACAAAACAAAAAAAACTTAGTAAGTAGAAAAAATAAAAACTGTACCCTGAAAGTAAAGAGGACAAATAAAAGTTAAAAGTGTGTTGTTTGTTTGTCTTGTGTAGTTAAATAAAGGATTAGATAAGTAACCATTTCCAACATGCAGGTCCAGTTGCAAAGTCAGTTGCAGTGAACAATAAACTCTGAGACTTTATTTATTTGCTATAATGCAGATCGTCCATAAATGTGTCAAACAAAACTGCACTCATCAGTGTTAAATAAAACTGTACAACGGTTCCTCTTAAGTTCCTCACAGCACTGTTCTAAGGCTGTTTTAAAGAGAAGCTGACCTGATCTTGAGGGAGGAGATGATGCTGGGAGGAGGGCGAACCAAACTGGTGGAGGATAGATGACTCCAACAACACTGGGACTTCTCCATGATCTACTGTGGAAGCGCATTCTTTTAAAGCTAAAAATACAAATGGTTTCAGGGGCTGTTTACAGTCTTAGAGTAAACGAGGTCAGAGAGGCCTGGCATTCCTGTTCCTCCAGCAGCGTGCCATCAACCTCAGCCCCGGAGGCTAAGCTGCATTTCAACATGACTCTCAAAACTGACAAATCAGGTCAAGGCTCTCCACCAAAGTGCCCCAAATACTGATGAACAAGCTGCTGGTGATACGGCAGGCAATTAACACCTTGGCAGGATGAACATGATCAAGGGGTGAAGAGCACGTTCACTGTTGGCGTCACATTGGATGAAATTTACTGTAAGCACAAAAATAACATTTATTCTTTGTTAATTGGAATGATGGAATTCCAGGAGAAGATTTACTGGAAAACTGTTTCCTTTATTCTTCTGCTTCAAAAAGTGTCTTCTGTCCTGAAACCAACCAGCAGCTGCTGCCAACAGCTGACAAGAGTCTCATTGTGTATCAGCAGCATATTGGGAGTCCAGATACTTGGCTAAAGTCCGGTAAACACTGCTTATGACGCCCACGAGCAAGGTCATCGGGTGTCTCCTCAGTTTGAGGCAACAACAAGAAGTTAATCTCTCCTCTCAAATTCGCACATTTGAACTATTTTGCAGCTGAGCAGTGAAATGAATCTCCACATATCCGACAAGTTCTACAATAGATGAAACTTGCGTGGATGTTTTCAGGTTACAAAATAGCCTTTGTGAGACTCATCAGCATGCTTAATGTTAAATAATCTAGACTTGGGTACAAAAACATAATCTTTCGGAAATTCTAGATCTCGCCATATGATTATCTTACATGGTTCAGGTTCTCTGCTGAAGTTATCAAAGGTCCCGTCCAGGAGTTAAGGATGTTTTCTGAATGACGCACCTCTGGTTCAAAATCTGGGGTAAAGTCGTTTTCATTCTGAACAAAACAAAAAGTTGCTTTGGGTGATTACAATGTTGCCAAAGATGAGCAATTTCTCTCTTATCAATGCTGCATTTAAACACTCTTCTGATGTGGAAACCTTCAACAAGCAGCACAACACTGGCTAACAAGTTCTCACAGTGTTTTAACGAAAGAGCAACGTTCTCAAATCAACATTCAAAAAATGTTATCTAGTTGTTATCAAGGCCTCACGACAGAATGTTGTTGTTGTTGTTTTTTTTCAAAAAATAAAATGTTCCTGTAATGCGACATTTAACAAAGGCAGAACATTCTGCATGCAATGTTCTGAGATTGTTTTGGGGATGTTGTTGAGGTGACACATTACAGAATCTACAGAAAGTTCCGACAATTCTACATGATAATAAGACAAGGATGTTCTCAGCGCAACATTCAGAAACAAATATAAATAAATAAATAAATAAATAAATTCTAGAAAGTCTTCAGACAACTTTATCTTGCCATTAAGAAGAACATACTAGGAACAAGAAAAAAAAAAGTTCCCAATAAACACACCATGACTAGAACTTGGCAGAACTTTCTCAGAATGTTTTTAGAACAAAATAATTCTTCACAGTTGACATCAAAGTCCTCAGTCAGGATCCTCAACAGGCCAGATATTAGGAATTATGCACATGAAGACAACATTTTCCAAATTTGGTTTCTTATCCCGTTCCTACACTTCTTCCCATTTTAGATTTTTGCATGAGCCTCCTGAGCTAAGGGAGTCATCTGTACCATTCAACCTCCTCCTCTTCTGCCTGTAAGCAAAAGCAGCTACAATCCGTTTCAAAAATGACACTGGGCCAAAATATTGTCTATAATGTCAAAGTTGCTCATTGAGACAACCCACAACAATAATCTATTTTAGGAGTTTTAAGCTCCTTTCAGCTCATTATTTCAGCTTTCTGCCTTGACCAGTCATGCTACAGTTACTCTACATTCACCGTAATCTGGTATATATACAAAACTTAATCGCGAGGTCATCATCGGGTTTAACAACCCAATCGTATTGTTCTTTGTTTTTCTGTGAATATGCGCATGTCATTCACATCTGCCAGATGTTGTCAGCAGCACATTAAGGCTACGGTGGCTTCTATTCAGGAAAAAAAGTATGTATAGCTTTGCTTAAAATGATTGATTATTGAGTTCATATCCTGTTATACGCCACAATATTTCTCATCTCAGCACTAAAGTCTACAGTGATGCTGCCTTCAGTTCCTCCCCAGAGATTAGTTTTAACTTTTACGTTCAGCTACTTACTTTAGATTACCTACTCTATAAATGCTTAATGATATTTTTCCCCCCACATTTATTCTCTTTTATTTGTCAAGCTGTATTCAATTCTATTAAATCTGCTTATTACTGTCATTACAACAGATGAGATGTATTTGGAGTTCAGTATAATGTTGGGTAACAATAATGTCTGTTTCCTAGATTGAAACATTTCACATCTATTTAGACACATATTGTAAAACCACTGTCAAACCGCAGTGCTATCTCCTGTGATCTAAATCACTCAGAGGATTAGAACTCTTCTATTAATAGCGTTTATCATCTGACTGCAGTATTGTGTCAATCATAGCAGTATGACATATTCTATATAGAAATCTTACGTAAGTTATCAGGGACGAAAGCCAGAATGGATTTCTCTGGCTGTTGGACTAGAACTGATCCGTTAGGATTTGATCGGAGATAATAAGACGACGCATTTCCTTACAGCTTTGCCTAAGCCTGGGAATCACATGGACATGAGCATCATGACTGACTGCTGAGGAAAAAACAGGAAAATAGCCGACCGAGACAAGTTTTTAATATGCTTTTGTTCCTTCTGAACATCATCGAACATGCGCAGCAGTGGCTTTTGCATGCATCAAGATGGCCGAGCATATAGACATGCAGATTTAAAAAAAAATTAAGATACGATTATGCTCCATTTACGAGATCACGCCACATCCATGTACAGTGCGGCCCCAAATCACACGCAACAGCACAGCTCGGAACTGTAAAAGCAGAAAAGAAAAAAAAAAATGCACGGACTTCAAAGGAGCTTTTAGTATTGTGCACAAGTATCCATGTCAAAAGAGATTAAAAGCTGTTGCACTGCATCTTTTGATTTGGCCTTGAATACCTTTAGAGCATATGGAGCTTCGGAGTGCAACACAGTAAGGCCTAAGCTCTTGATAGACACAGACTTCATTTGTATTTCAGTGGCAACTTCCGCTTAAAGCTGCTAAGAGTAGAATTTGCCTCTAAACAGATAGCCCCGAAGGATTAGTCTTCATAATCTGCCATTCACTGATCCTCGAAATCATACTGTCTGGGTGCTCTGAAATCAGCTTACAGTGACAGTAGATGGTGTGTGAGTGGTTTTATGATTGGGATTGTGTGTAGGCTTTACATACAGTAGCAATGAATGAGAAAAAGACAATTGTTTAGGGGGGTGGGGGGGGGGGGGGGGGAGAGCTGGTTTCCAATCTGCAGAGGTTAACATTTCACCTACTGGTGTAGTAACAAGCTGCGTACCAGTCTCGCTTATGCCAGCACGCAACCGCTCGAACTTGCTACGCTAGACAGTGAGAGTAAAGCCTTTCCGTCTGCCGCGCAGGACCAAACAGATGCTTGATTTGAACTGAGCATCTCTGGTAACCCGTTACGTCGTCTGAGCGAAAATCCAGAGCGGGGACAAAATTTTAAATCCGTCAGCTCATCGCACGCTGTTGTGTGCTTGCATCACAAATGGCATAAAAGTGCCTTGTGTATCTTTGAAGGAAAGACAGCAGACACAGACTCTCGTTTCCTGCTGGCAGGCCTTTATATGGATGGCATTAAGAATCCTGACAGGCTCTAAGTCAAACAACTGTCCCTTTTATACAATCACACAGTATATTAAAGTTTGATTACAAAGACACTTGGGCAATCATCGGGTGCAAAATACCAGATGGTGGACAAGGCGGGATGAGTGGACTCAAACTATAGAGCGCCCCGTGAAGTGAAAGTTAAAAACAAATCTAAATGTTCGTCATTGAAAACCGAGTCGGTCTTAGTTGAACTGATGTGATTGACTCCCATTCCTCAGAACATTAATCCTCATTATTCAGGGAGGGAATTTTCTTGGAAAACACTTCATGTATAATCCATGTCAGACCTCCACTACAAGTCTTCCTCGAATAAACGGTGATTAACAACCCCGTCAGTGTCAAGACCGATTAGCCATGTGAACAATATTTAAGCAAGCATCAGAGGTACTATTATAATTTATTCATGAGAAAAATTTCTTTAGCTATGGACAGAGCAAAACACATATGAGCATCCTATTTGACAGCACCTTCAACCGAGTTTGATGCAGAAGATACACATTTTAGGACAAACAAACAAAAAAGGAAAACAAATTAAATTATTCTTTTTGTCATTCGGCATGTCAGAGGTAATATCAAATATAAAACAGAAAGAGAATTTGATATTGTTTACAGTGTGGTTTTGGAGAACTTGAGCCATTTCTCATGTTACTTTTTTAGGAATGTGCTACTCCCTCACCTTTTCTTTGTTCCTTTTGCATGACGGAAATGTCTCTTAAGTCTCAAGACAGTAAAATGTAGCAAGCATATACAATGAACTGGCTGGGTTTGACTCCGTTACTAAAAGAGGGGAAATGTTAGTGGATCCCAGTAACAGAACAGGAATGTCGTACCACTCCTTTACTCTGTGGTGGAATAGAGACGTCTACGCAGAGCTGGAGACGGCCAGCTTCTTCAAATGGTCCATGAAGACCTGCAAGCTGACGTCATCCGTAAGAATCGGGGCTCCCGTCTCCTACACAGGGACAAAGGGAGGACAAAACAGTGGTTAAGTCATTTACTCACTTTACAAACAGATCTTTTTATGACATAACTCTTATCCTCTGACCACTTCAATGCACCAAACACGTTATCACTAAGATTAGCTTATGCAAGAGCCCGCTCTGTTGATAATCTCATTCTCAGACGGCCATAGATGTCACATACAGCAGGTTATGGTTTAGCCCTTCCTTGACTTGGGAAATAAGAGATTAACGCTATTTTCAGCTTTCAATCTTTCCCACTTAGAATCAGAGGTTAGCTAATCCAAGACCTTTGTTTGCTGACAGTTTGATATTAAATCTTCCCAGTTGTCAGAATTGATTGTTTTTCACCCGCAGTACGGAGAATCCTGGAATTGCTACGTCTTTGTTTGGATGGAAGGAGAAAATGAGAGTTTCCCCAAACCTTAGTCTAGTGACACTATATGAGAATGAATGTAAATAAACTAAATTTGATACTAATATTACACATATTGTCACATATTCAGTTATTTTGGAACTGTACTAAAAATCTCAGAAATGAGCGCTATTACCAGTCAATTGAAAACAAAACAAGCTGGGTAAGGAATTTGACCTCTATATTTTCAAGTACAAAAGAAGAAAACACAAAAAATAGCGAGTAATAATACCATACCTGTCCCCAGGCGTAGAGGTTGTTATGAGTCTGTGATGGGTTGACCTTGGAGAGCAGGAAGCGAGCTTGGGAGCCTCCATGCTCCGTGTCAATGTAGCGTGGCATGGGGAAGCGTGTCTGCAGGATCTCTTGAGCATCGTCCAATGGAGCCTGGAGCAGCAGCTTGAAGATCTCATGCTCTGCCATGTCCTGGTAGCCCGCCTTTCGCCACTGGGCTATGGTCTGAGAATAGAGAAGAAAATGCCTGCTGTGTCAGCACATGCAATGTTTTGCTTTAAGCAACAAATTAAGGGTATGACATTTATTGACTTGCTTCAGAGCATTCCTTGTTAGCAGTCTACTGTCTCACCTCTCCGTGATAAATAACCAGCTGGAAGAAAGTGTCCATCAGCAGGATTCGGTCTGGCAGGATACTGCTGCTGTCCAGGAGCACGGGCTTAGAACAACACATAATAGAACAGTTGAGAACAATTTAGCGCTAAAAGCATCAACACTTTTGCACAAGCTTCAAAGAAAGGCCCACTGCTACCACTGAGATACACAGAACACTGATGTTGATGTGAAGGGTCTGAGGCTGACCTCTGGTGGTCCGTAGAAGGAGTATGAATAGAGGATGGGCTGGATCATGATCAGGGACTGCGTCAGGTCCTGCCTGACAAAGTGGTGCCGATAATAGGACGACTCATCTGGGCTGTTGTTGAACACCTGCAGGAACGGTGACCGCCGCAGGTGGAACATAAACTGCAAGTGGAGAGGATATGAATACATTTAGTTGATTTTACTTTCATTTTCATATAATCAAAGATAATCAGATGTGTTTGAATAAGTAGATTCTCCAAGAATAAATTAAAGATAGTACTATAATAAAAATGTTTTTAGGTTAATAGTACAATTCTGTTTAGTGATGTGGCTTTTACAGATTTACAAATTTCCACTAGGTGGCAGGTTTACCTGTGGGTAGAGGGACAGCGACTCTGACAGTTTGAAAGATGTAGGATCTTCTTTATTGAACTGGCCAAACTTTTGACACTGAAAACGTGGGAGGAAAAAACATTGTTAACACAATGAACAACCCACAGAATACACCTTACGTAACTTATTTCATACAGGAGTAACAATAGATGAGAATATTTATATCATACAAAGCAAACTATGTTTTGTATTGTGCACAGTGGGATTAGCTGGTGTGTGGGAGTAACACTCACCAGGCGGATGAGCTGCCTGTCAAGCCAACGCAGCACGTCAGGTCCCTCCTCTGACTCCGCCCTGAAGACTCCCAGGCGAGCCATAAGCACAGCGGCCGCCTCCTGGTCAAATGACGACTCTATGTGCTGAATCTGTGATTGGGCATCGGCCCAGCTTGAGTAGACAGAAAAGAATGATGGAGGGAGAGAGGGAGGAGGAAAATAGGGCAGAAGAAACCAGAGAGGCACAGGTGAGCGCGGGTGTGGTGTGAATGACGCACATGCAACACGTAGTTGAAGGCGTAGTCCTAAATTGCAGGAATGCAAACATCCTTTCTGGTGAGGCTAATATTGATTCTAGCTGTCACTTTCTTGGATAAACGCCAGATTAAATAAAATGTTAATTTACACCTGGAAGCTCATCAAGGTCAAATTCACACCTGACATTCTTTTCAGCAAACGAAACCAGTTTGTTCAGTGTCAACCTGGTATGTTCTTAACAAAGTACCATCCCAGGTGCGGTCTGGCTTGTTTTAAATCACTGAACATTGTTTACATCAACAATAAAACCAGAGTCTTACTTTCTGGCGATGGTGGTGACCCGTATCCTCCTCTGGGTGTTGGAGTGCTGGTACTGGGTTACAAACTGGATCGCCCCTCGACCACCCTGGGGGACTGGTGCGTTGTGCTACACACAAAAACAAACACAAAACAGTGGAACCAGTAAGACTGCAGTTGACAATCGTTCCTCGCTGCGTGAGCCAAATAAATTGCCTTGTAATGCAAGAAAAAAAAACACACACAAAAACACATTGTCTGTTGAGCTTCAGTACACAAAGTCTTTATCTCCCCTCACAACTATTCACTTGTTTGATGTGAGTGACAATTACACTCCCATCAGCATACTGTAATCCTTTCAGAGCTCAAAAGCTAAGATTCATGTTTTACCTGATTCACGACTTCAAAATAAAAGCCCAGTGTGGTGGAAGGGTTGAGACTGCACACCTTCCACTGGCTTGTGCCACCAATGCCCATCTCCTACACAAAACAGAGAACATAGTGTGATGAATACCAGTAAATGATAACTCTCAGATTACCTATAGTGAGACTAAATAATTTTATTTTTGAGTTTGAACGGGGGTAACGTACATTCTCTGAAACACAGGAACCCTTGGAGTTGAGTGAAACACATGGTCCAATGGCCCCGCAAATCTTCAGTTCCCTTGATGTCTATAAAGGCAGAAAAAGACATAAACTAAGTTGCTTTTTTTCACCAGCAACTAACATCAGATTGATGATGAAAGATTTACATTACAAACTCCAGTAAAGCAAATAAATACACCTATTATAACTGCAATGACGGAATCACTTCTTTACCTTGACTTCAAGGACGCCTCCAAAGGCCATGCGGAAGTCTCCATTATAGTCTTTGCTGAAGACTCTCTGGAAGGTTTGCTTGAACAGGGAGGTATTGAAAGAGTCTCCCATCACTATGTGGCCCCTGAAATACATCACAATACCATATTAAGATGCTTAATTATGCTTATAAAAGGAAAAACCAATATGATTCCACACCTTAAACCAAGTAAAAAGCAAGTGCTGACATACCCAGTGAGGTTCGACAAGCACTTCATCTCCAGCAGTCCGGTCTGGTCCAGAGCGCATGCATAGATATCAATACTGTGACCATTTACTGCTGAGCGGTTGGCCAAGGCTTCATAGTACTGTGGGACACAAAAAAACATTGACTTAATGTTACATGAACATAACATCATGCAAATCTGGGTGAGAAATTATTTGACTTAAATAGATGTTTATTTTAGGGGAAAATACAGGCGTACTCTTGTAAATGCCAATATTTGCCGATTGTACATGCATTCGCTCACCTTGGTGGCCTTCTTCAAATGGCGAGCGTTGTCCTTCTGGATGTCGTGCCAGGAGCGGATGGGGGTTTTCAGCTCATCTCCCACCACCATGCCTGGGCCCTGGGTGGGCGGTCCTCCAATAAACAGCATCACACGGGCTCCTGTGTTGGGGAACGTACCCTGAGGATAAGAGAGCAAGAGTTGGATTTCAGTTAGTGCAAGTACCATTATACCCTGTGGCCACAATTTAAGATCACGAGATCATTATTTGACTACATAACAAAGTAGTAACAACTGATTTTCAATTACTCCTAAAGTTCAATTGACATGCAGATAAGCACCAATATACTAGTGACCTAAATTCTCAAATTTGCCATTTAAAGGGTAGAAGAGTGAAGTCTGTGATGGTTAAGAATCAGGATTAGCTTTGAAAAGGTAAGTCAGAAACTGAAGTATAATGTGATGGCACGGAGGCATTTTGTCTCTCTGTTAAACTCTTCATCCAGTTTACTTGAAAGAATTTTATCAAGACTAACAATATGTATTTCACATAGACGTAAAAGGGTCAAAATAGGGTTTAATTGAATTCATAAAGAATTAAAAAAAAAAAAAAAGTTTGAATGAGTGTTCAGTGAATCAGTCTAAGCAAAGGACAAACCTCTCAGTCACAACAGTTACCACAGTCAAGTCTATAGTCCAAGAGTGTGGGAAAATCCAAAACACATTGAAACACTTGGAAATGAGCCATGTAACCACAAAACCCCTAGAATGTGCTTCAAATATCAAGTTACCGTTTGATAGTAGGTATCAAGGAATCTAGGTTACAGTGATTCATTTATAAATTAGGACAAACTGTTCTCATTCACAGAGCAATTAAACAAACAAACAGCTGACAGTGACGCCAAAAATGTTCAGTATTTCTGTTAAATATGTAAATGACTCATCCATCAAGTCAAATGCCTCTCGACAAGCCAGTTAATCTGGAGTCACTGAACGGACAAAATGTATTCTAACCAGGCCATATCTCTGACTGGCTAAAGGAGAGTACAGCGGGGGAATGATCTGTTGCACTATCACTTATATAACCACACAGATTAGCAGTAGGACAGGAGAGAGGATAATAATGGTGAAGTGAAAGGGCAGAAGGCAAACAGGAGCCAGCCTTTGAACTGACAGAGCACATCCACTGTTCCTGCAGATGATATTTATCAGACAGTGTGTGCCTTTTGGAACAGGAACATGTGGCACTACTGTCTTGGTCAGGCTAAAGTCCAGGTTACTACGTAGCACTTTAATGACTCATGATTCACTTGTGTCCATCGCATTTATGGCCATCAACAGTACATTGACTATTAGTGTTATACGTACCTCCAGAAGACCGACAGCAACAGACAGTGCAACACCGGTGGAGCGGAGCGGCCGTTTGCCTTGAGGGACCGGCCAGGGGTCTCTCTGAAGCTCTCCGAGCAAGTCTGTCAGATTCATATCAACTTTTTGCACAGGCTGAAGGAATCTGGATATGAAGACAAACACATCTTAGACAGGAAAAAAGCAAACTGCTGTAGCCTCTTTTGCAGACAACTACCAATAATGGACAAGTGTTCATGCTCATTCATACCTGCATGAGGCTGCACCATCCTGAGGGGCCGGAGGGCGACCTTGTTGTCCTGAAGCTGCTGGCTTTGTTAAACCCAGCATCTCCTAAAAAAAACAACAACAAACAAACAAACAAACAAAAAAACACACATTATTAAGTTGAGAGTTTACATGTCAGCTACTTTGTTTCAGATTTCAAAATCAAACGTTTGACAACAGCCTAGCTTTTTTTTCTTGGAACTTCAAATCATCAAAGCAGGGTTGCTAATCGAATATGATTTTCATTAAGTCACTATAAATGCCACATTGAGAGGCTCTGTAACTGTTCGCACAATAATCTCTTTATTTTTCTCATTCCTGATGCTTTCACCCAAACCCACCTGGATCTGTTTGGAGGTGAGGTCCTTGGTGCCCCTGAACACATAGCTCTTGGCAATCCCCTCACAGCTGAGCTCATGAACTTGGACCATCCGTCCAAATGTGATGAGACCCACCAGGGCATTGGGTGGTAGCAGACTGAGCGACATCTGAAGGGATTCTTTGAGGGCCTGGAGGTCCTCTTCTTCCAAACATGTGTCCACCACATACAGGAAAATCAGAGGGGCTTGGGGTCCACGCTGTAAAGAGACAGCAGAGAAAGGTAAAACCACAGGTTTCATTTATCAGATACAGTGACAAATGATTTACACCTTCATGTCTGTAAATAGAAAAATGGCCTGCCACAAAGAAAAAGAGCAGTTTGAATTATTATTTGGTTAGATGTTTGCTGATTGTATGTTTGTATGTCACTTGTTCTAACAGAGATGCCACGCGATCATCAGAGGCTCGTATTACTTCTTAAAACCATATACATTATTTATGAAGTTACAGTAGTTAACCACAACAGCAATCAGGCCCTCAGTGGTTGCAAAGATAAGAATGTTGCTTTCTGATTACAATCAATAGTGCTTATTTCATCCAACTGGTTAACTTAACACATCAACTTACTGCATGGTTACACCTCTGTAACTAATGCACCAAATTAGGTGTCCTCAATTACAGTGTTGAGCCATATATAAAGCATGTCTCTCGTTTAATAAACTTATGCTTCATGGAACTTGAGTAAATGTTCCCTGTAGTAATCACAAAAAATATTAAAGCATAGTGATGTACAAAGGCCACAAGGTGACAGTGACTGAATGACAAAAATAAGACTCTCCAAGTGCAAATGTCGCTATTGGAAAGTTAGCATCAACCTTTGCACAGTACATCTCTGGTACTTCATGCACATGGCTGTGGTCAGAGTGCAGACATGTATGTAGTATTTACCTGCACTATGTACTCAATGGTAGAAAACTGTGGCATGAGTTCAGCTGGCTGGTTCACTTCTGATATGCCTGCATAAGACGGAGGAAACTGCACAAACACACAGAGACATCCAAGTTAACCACAATAACAAAGGAATGTTGCTAGTTAACATTAAGTTCCAGCTAGGTTAAGGCTGATGAATGTTGTAGCAACAATTGATGTCAAATACAAGCGTCAAAATTTAATTAGTTCATGAATGTCAGTACTTACTGGGTTCCTCTGGAAGCAGAAGTTGCATGCCCATATTTTTGCTCTGAAGTCAACTTGACTGTAAAAGAAGGATTTAAAAAAAGGTTTAAATTTAATTGTCAGGAGATGTGGTCGACCAATTATCAGCCTTGTCGATTATTTAGGCTCTAATGGATCAGTTGTCATGAGCAATGTTCTGCTGACAGAACAATCAGATTGGCTATATGTCACTACTAAGAGCCAATCGATGCTCTTATTACTATTTATGTAAAACACAAATAAACAAAGGCATTCCAATGTTTTGTGTTGAAGTTTCTGTTATTGAGATGTTGACACCAAGACTTGTATTTTTAAATGACATGTGAATATCGGTCATTTACAAATATCAGATATCTGCTGCCTCCTCTACTAATAATTGGTATCAGCCCAATTATTAGACTTTGAGCGTACAGTCCCATTCAATTATGACTGACAGTGTGTGCAAGGTGTATTTGCACTACCCATGTACCACACCCAATACTTGACTATGTACACACCTCAGCATTTGGAAATGCTGATGTGTTCAAAAATAGTCAAACTCAAATCCCCTTTCACCCTTATTTACTTTTACAAAAGGTCTACTACAGTGAAGACATGACAAGAACAGAAGTGGCACTGGACATAAATGATTCAGCACAACTAATATGCAAAAAAGAAAACAAACACAAACAAACATACACCATAAATAAAAATAAACAGCTACAAAAAAAAAAAAAAACATTTAAAAGTGTACACATGTAACCTGGGCTTTGTTTGTGCGTTACACTCACCACAGTGGGTTGAGCACTGCCTTGCAGTTGGCCCGGCTGCACAGAACTGGCTCATACTGCACTGGTGGCAGGTTGGGTCTCTCCTTGAGTGGTGTGAAGAGGCAGGAGACAGGAACCACTAGCCTGGTGGCTTCCAGCCGGCTGGAGGGCCAGAGGTTCCAACTGAATCTCACCCCATCCCTGCCTTCGTTCTGTTGGATGAACTCCTGGTAGGTCGTCATCATGGAGCTTGAGCAGAAAAAGAGCCCAACACGCCACAGTGAGGTTTGTCAGTCCAATGGGAGAACTAAATATAATCACTGTGACACTGGTAGTCCAAACTGTGCCACTCCAAACTTCCCACTGTTCTGTCTCTCTTCAGTCTACCCGCTCTGGCTCCTACAAGCTACAGTGAACACCTGCTATTTATACAGGTGAGCCTTTCTCCTCTGTGCTAAAAAAAGGAAACTTCGAAAGCATGACGCACAAATGTTTCATCAGGAAACCTGACTAGCGTGTTTTGATGAGGAGGAGTACAATGCAGAGGAATCCCAGAGGCATTTTTACGTTTTACCTTTTGTTGGCATGTGTCCCTGGAACATCAATGACACTCTTTGCAAAGTATCACAAGGTATTTTGCTGTAGCAACCGTATACTCGCCCTTTTCCTTTCTGCTATCGGAGGACACCAATTAGAGAACAATAACTATTACAGCCAGACTTGGAAAAAAACTGATAAAGACAGTCAGATGGGCACAAGATTTTCAGAGTGTAAAATATGTTTAAAACTGCTGTCAGTCAGTCAACTATGTAACAGGTAGTTGTGCAACTATTGATTATTTTTGTGTTATCATATCATCTAATACACAATTTTATCTCCTTAGTTTTTCAAGCAGTTTCCAGTCTATGTAATGTCAGAACCTGGATTATGTAAAAGCATACACTAGATCACAAGGTGACATCTCCACATTACGTGTTCTGTCTAACCAACAGTTCACAGTCCAAAGATAATGAGCCTTCTGTCATGTGCAACAAAGAAAGGCAGTAAATTCTCACAACTTGTAAGCTGACACAGTGGAATATTAAGCACTTAAACGTAATGAAAATGACAACATATTTAGCAAATCTGCTAAAACACATCTACTTTAGCTCTAAAACTACTTCTGATTGTTGTACGCTGTGAGTTGCTGTACGAGCGTATTGCAAAGAAAACGAATTACTAAATGTGAGAACAAATGACACATTCTAGTCTGTGGTTAGACAGAGATTTTCGTCTTTTCGCCATAGGAAAGTACAAAGGAAGCCAAAGTGCAAGGAAGTTACTATTTGGAGCTATTTTACACAGTACAATGAAACTGAAAACTCCACAGCCACGTATCATCACTGATGCCGGCATCACAGAGAGCTTCAGTCTGTCTTTAACAGAATTTATATTCAGAAATCATTTAAATATGGCTACTTACACGACGTGTGCTGCCTCAAAAACACAGAATCACACTGGCAGTGGTTGTAGAAACAATATTAGCTATACAAATAGTATGTCTTCGCTACTCTGGCACTCAAACATCTACAAGCTAACACTACCTCCTACGGCCGGATCGGAAGCGCTAGCTAACGCAATTTAGCATTAGCCTACGTCCACAGAGATAGGCGGCCCACATTTGAACAAAATTAAGTCGAGCTCTTACCTTTTGTATCAAGTTGGCCTGACAAGAGCAGAAGAGTCTGTTCCCTTCAAAACAAACTACAGCATTTGGATGTAAAAGTAACCGGATGTCCAGGAGGACGGAGGGACGACGGTGAGGGGGATCACTCCGGAGCAACCGGCTTCTGCACTTACTAGAATGACGTGTTACTACAAGCTAGGTCGTCTCCAATTGGCTCGTTTCCTTGACGTTCCTACGTCAATGCGTACTCTACGTACGTACCGGAAGTGATTAATACACTGTCAATACGTGTAGGCCTCAGTGGTGGTGGTTCATTCATAGATATATATAATAAAGGCTTTATTATATATATATCTATGGGTTCGTTAGGAAGCTGTAATGGTTGGAAAGTATCTAAACATAAATACTCACTTACTGTACTTGAAAAAAATTACTCTGTATTTTCATATTCTGCTCTGAAGAAGGGGAAAGAATGATTTAAGCAGGCCAGAGAGACTAAAATCAGGGAGGTTAAGCCAGGTCAGATAGAAGGAATGCAGCTACACACACACACACACACACACTATGCACAGATAATGGTAGCAGTACCTTGCACTGATAGGCATACCATCCCCTACAAAGTAATAGCAGCAGCAGCAGCATACAGCAGCTAAACAAAGGAAAAGTACTGACATCCAGAGAGTGGGAGATGTTAGTAGGGAGGTTTTCCTTTACAGGGCGCAGATTGGATTGGATGAATCATGTGCCAATCATACCAAGAGGTATGGACATATCTGTGCACCAAAGAAGGGAGAGCTAAGTTTAAACCTTGGCTCCTAGAATATCACATTGTAGAATAAACAGCATTAAACGAGAGAAGCTGTTGGTCTTCTGTCTCAAAAAAACAGACACGCATCAACACTTTGCAGACTTACTTTGATCATACAATCAAAAAATCACTTATGATGTAATTTTATAAATTAAGGTGCAACTTCCCTGCTCCCCGAGGGAGTATATAACTATACAAAGTAGTTAGATCAACTTTAAGAGCTTTAGCATTCCAGTAATGAACACACATTGCCTGAACATGTTAATGCATCAATAATTATATTTAGTAATCTACAGTATTCTGAATTAAGCTATTCTGCATAAAGAGCATTTATTTATTTTTATTTAGAGCAGTAGAGGGAGACAGGAAAGGGGGGAGAAGAATGGGGACAGACCTGCAGCAAAGGGTCGTGAGCGGGATTCAAACTCACGACCGCTGCATCGGGGAACTACAGCCCCTGTTCATGGGCCGCCCGCTCTACCAGGTGAGCTATAGGGGGGCCCCATTTATTTATTTTTAACTGTTGGAGGGCCTACTTTATTTCTTGATGGTACTGCTTTTGTACTTCTACTACAGTAAAAATTCAGAAGTATGACATTCATGTGGAACACACACTGTGCTGGAAATATGCGGTTCCTGAGTTTATTTAACACAAGAACTCAATACTTCTTCCACCGCTGCTGGTTGTTATCCTGCTTTGACAGTTTTGCAGTTTTGTGTGATAACATGGTATTTTACAGATTTCTTTCTTTCTTTCTTTCTTTCTTTCTTTCTTTTTTTTAAATTTCACTATCTGAACATGTAGTTATCCACAGTGTAAAGGGGTAATTAAAACCTATTTGTCATTTGAATACTGGTGGGAAGCCAAAAGACTCCTCAACATTTTTGCGGGAAAACATTGCACCACCTACTTCCCATTTATTAGAAAATCACTGTTGCTAGTTAATGGAACAGAATGGAAATTTATTGTAAATATTCAAGATGAGTTTGTTTTCTTACTGAAGTTTCTGCCTGTTTTCTGCCTGTTTGAGCAAATAATCAAGTAGTACTTTGAATACCCCATTCTGATCTTATTTATTTGTTCAAATTTGTTTTCATTGTTTATCTTAATTGACTTTAGCTTTTTGTAAAGCACAAAGGTGCTACACAAATAAAGTTATTATTATTATTATTATTATTATTATTGTGCTGTGTTACTAGCCAATCTTAACATTTAGTGATAACTAATGCTCACAGTAAAAATAACGATCTATTAAGTAACTTATCTAACCAGCTCAGTGTTTTATAGGTCACAGTTTTGTAGGTTAAGGTCTCACTGGAGCGCCACATTAGCATCTGTCCATGGTGCTGAGAGAAACTGTGGCCACCTGCTGCCTGTGCTCATGATGCGTTCAATGTCAGCTGGCATACGTGGACGTTTGGCATCTGTCTGAGTCAAAACGACGATAAAAGCTAGGCTTAGTGGGAGTATATCTGGGAAATGTTTTAAATAGATGAATTTTCGGTGACTGATAATAAAATGTGGTAGTGTCAATTCAATAATTTCGACTTGAAAAGCGATACTGGGCTGCACTTTTCGGCCAGCTGAACCACACTACTGTTTGTGGGGAGGATAAATCCGGGAGGACATGAACTTAGCATACCAGACATCTTGTTTGGCGTGCATTTGAACATTAGGTGGCGCTGGAACCAAGCTGTATTTTTGGTGAGACTCAAACCCCTGGAGGGAGAGAGCTCGGAAGAGGAAGAGAGAAAGGAGGGAGAAGGGGGGGAGAGCTGCTTCCTCTCCCTGTGTTTCTGCTGTGCACAGCGGACTCTCTCCTCTCTCTGTGCGCAGCCGACAAGCGGCAGGTGTGCGTCCGCAGAAGCTTCCCTCACTTTGACCGCCGTCCGGACCGAATTTTGGATACCGAACCGAGACGATAACTCACGCTGTGTGTCGGCGAGTCAATTTCGGCTGTGAGGATGTTGCAGTTATAGTAGAGCATCTCCTCTTCCTCCTCTTCCCCCTCCTCCTCCTGTATCACTCTCAGCCGGCATCGTCAGCTGTTGCTCGAGCACAGAGTGGCAGAGTCGGGAGCAACAGACAAAAAAAAAGGCCAAACTATGCCACTGGTTTCCAATCGGTAACTGTTTTTCCATCTTAAGTCGACCGGGGAGCGGATGCGAGCAGAGGTTGCCAGCGAGCCTCTTAGTATTTTCTTCCCTTTGTCGGTACCGGAGGAGCCGTGCCAATGGAGAAGGCATCTCCGCCGCCCCAGCCCCAGCTCCAGCTGTCGATAACGAAGACCGAAAGTCCGGCGGAGGACATCTCCGGGCTGAGCGACGAGGAGCTGCTCAAGTGGACCAAGGAGGAGCTGGTGCGCCGGCTGAGGCGGTCCGAAGCCGACAAGATGAGCGTGATTCTGGACCACGGGAATCTCATCCGGGAGGTCAATCGCAGCCTCCAGCTGCACTTGAACGAGATCAGGGGGCTGAAGGTGAGGGGGCGCGCATCGGTTGAACGATGAGATCATAGATTTGGAGCGCACCTGAGAACGCGCATAGCAGGAGGGATGTGCTGCTGTTGGGAGAGGGCATCTGCAGACACGGTGTGAGAACAGCCTACTGTAGATGGCATCAGTGAAGTTCGCTGTGTAGGTCTTTGTGAGAATGTGATGTGCATTAATGTGGAGCCTGTGTGTGCACATGCTGAACCTGAGGGAATAAGCTCAACTTAGGTGTGAGGTGGGAAATTAAGGCTGGGAGGGGGGTGTAAACTAATGGGAAGTTGTGTCTTGTCCTCTCAGCTGCAAAGTAGGCTTCCTGAGGTAGACATTTATAAATTTATCCTGAAAAGGAGGGAACATCCCTCTGCAAATCTACAGCACTGTTCATCTGCCAGAGCTCAAATCTGGCTTCCAGATGTCCCTCTGTCTGCACACACCTTGCATTCCTAGAAAATTCCTCCACATAAATCTAACAGCATGTGCAATACAATTAACCTTCAGAACAGTGTGGCATTTGCTTTGAAAGTATGTGCAGGCTTTCTTCTGTTCTATAACCTTTACCCGCTGCCTTGATTTTCTGATGGTAGGAATATGGCACAATGTCCACAGTGTTTACAGCTGAAGCTGAGACCGGGCCTGAGGAAGCCTCCAGATGAAACACACTGGGATCATTTGCTTTTCTTGGAGACCTTGTCACCTCTCCACCCTTCCGAGCGACCTAATTACACAGGAAAGGGCTGCAGGGTGAGGGAGGGAGAGGGAGGATAGGGGAGAGTTAAATTGTTACAGAAGGGTAGAGGAGAAAAGAGGGAGGTGTTCTGGAGGTGAAAAGCGGATATTTAAGTAAATGCTGCTTTACCGTAAAATGTTTAGGGTGTGTGATTTCATTTTCCTAACCTTGCCTTGTTTTTGTGTGTGGCCTCTTCTTTTCCTGCAAAGGATTCTAATCTGCATTAGGTATTTCACATTGAATGGTACACAGTGAGTCAGTGCTTTTGTGGAAGAGAAAGAGAGGATTAGGATTTCATTTCATTATGATTGTGTACACCATTTGATATCTAAAAGAGCAGTGAAGTGGATTCAAATTGCACAATGGCTGCAGTGGTTTACCTGGAGTTAATTTAGTAGAAGAAAACTTCTGTTTCATAACAGTTCAAAAGCAAATTTGTGTTTTTTAAGCATTGTCTTAATTTATGAAGCCTCCCGGTGCTTGGGCACAACCCCCAGTTTAACTTCATTCTTTTCTTCTTGTTTTTTCCTCTCAGGACATTAACCAGAAGCTGCAGGAGGACAATCGTGAGCTGCGGGACTTGTGCTGCTTCCTGGACGACGATCGTCAGAAAGGGAAGCGTGTTTCCAGAGAGTGGCAGCGTCTGGGACGTTACAGTGCCAGCATTATGCGCAAAGAGGTGACCCTCTACCTCCAGAAGCTCAAGGAGCTGGAGCTTCGGCAGGAGGAGGTGATCCGTGAGAACCTGGAGCTGAAGGAGCTCTGCCTGTTGCTGGATGAGGAGAAGGGGGTGGTGGGGGGAGGAGGTGGCGGCGGGGGAAGTGGAGGCACAGGGGTCGTAGGGATGGGAGGGTGCCGTAACTCCATAGACAGCCAGAATAGTCTGCTGCTGGTGCCCGGGCAGGGGCTGCTCATGAGAGACGTGGGGGACGGGAGCAGCACCTCCAGTGCAGGCAGTGCCGACAGCTCCGATCATCCCCACTTGAAGCAGCCTCACCTGGCTGCCGGAGTGGGTGGGGTCAGCAGCGGCGGGGAGAAAGGCAGCCCTGAGCTTGTGCATAAACCCAGGTGTAGCAGCATCAGTGGAATAGGAGGAGGAAGTGGAGGAGACAGGGATGTGTCCAGTCCTGACCACCCAGCTGGGCGCCACCGGAGCACCAGCCTAGAGTATCCGTACACCCTCCCTCAGCTCTGCCGGCCCCGCTGTGGCTCCATATCTGTGCCTGACCACAGTCGAGTCATGCGGGGCCTTAGCCCAGAGAAATACGGGAGGAATGTGGGCCGTCGTAGTCCGGAGCAGCACCCCAAGCACCACAGCTCGGACCTCCTCCTGGGCCAGAGGCAGCACTTCCTGGGTCAGGGAGGCAGTGGGGAGCTCTTTCAGAGGCACCACCGGAGCAGCATTAGTGGTACAGGCTGTGGGAGTCCTGAACCCCGGCAGGCACATCTGGGGACCGGTGAGCACCACGAAAAGAGCTGCATGGTCCAGGGGGGAAGCCCCGAAACTCACAGGCACCAGTACAGTATGAGCCCTGACCATGTGAAGTTTGGCAGCCCTGTGAGAGAGGGGCAGAGGAGGCCGGCTGGAGATGAGCTGTCACCACATCACCGGAGCATCTATAACGGCATGAATGGTAGGTGGGCAGTGCTTCTATGTGAGTGCTTGTGTTTCGATCTCCTGTTTAACATCATCTGCCTACAAAGAAAGCCAAAAAGCAGTAAAATGATCAAATTTGTCCATGCAGACAAGCCCTGAAATACACTGGACAACATCTATCCCACACATTGATAATATCGGTCAATAAAAGTTAACACCAAACTTTTGCTGATTTGATTGGAATTGGTGAAGTGGAGGCAGTTTCTTTTTCCGTTAAAACTCCCCCCCCCCTTTTTTTTTGAAAGGAGACTTGCAGGGCGATATGTGTTTGGAAGGCACTTATTTGATTGAGAAAATAGAGATACTCTGCCCCATTCTGACTCCTCCAAAATTTACAGCACTATTGATTTTTTTTAGCATCTCAAGAGGAATGTGGGTTGGCTCAGTGCTGAGTGAGAAAATATGCAGTTCAGAGATATTTATTTTACACATTCTGTATGTAAGTTGAACAGATGCTGTTCAAATGATCCAGATTGTTGCGATGTTGCAACACAAGTACGCTTATTAGACAGTTAAATACCACCCAAATATTTGCTCCAGTCATGTCCATCTCAGTGAAATCAGTGGGAGTTAAGCATGTCAGGGAGGAGGAGGGAAAATCAAAGTAGCAACTTGGCTGCTGTTTAAATACCCCACAGTGGCTGATAATGATTTCTGGAGTCCAGGGAAAAAGTGCTGAGTGGCACAGAGCTCTCAGATGCTAAAGGACAAATTCCTCAAGGTGAAATATTTACCTGACTTTGCAATATGAGGCTGAAATTACAAAGGAAATAAAACCAGTGTACACAGAGCAGCAACAGCCCAATACTTACAGGAAGGCTTTCAGCTACTATTATTACAGAATGATGAGTCATTTATGTCTGTTTATCAGGTGCATTGATATTGGTCCACTGTAAATAAACAACTATAAAGCAAAGAGGACAGGTTATGGAGTAAGACACAGAGTGTGCCATTTCTGTTACGATTATATGACTTTATTCCTCATGAAGCTGAGTTAGAAGTCCCAGACAGCAGTAAAGCAGGAGAGAACAGCCCTGGACATATCATTGTGGTGTCACGAGGGCCAACTCAGCAAAAGCTCAGATGCAGAAAGTCAAACACAAATATGGAAAAGATTGTATTTTTGGGTGTTGGGATTTTCTCATCTGTCTGCCTCCATGTACATATTTCTGACACGATATAGAGGGTTTCTGTGTTGCCCATTTTCTGTAACATTTTCCAAGGTTTTACATTCACACCCTGCTTTTATGATGCAAATATTGACTTAATTGCTTCTGCATTTAACACAAAACGACGACCTGTCTGTTGCTGATGTATTAAAATGCACTAAAATGCCACTATAACTAAAGTGCAAGCAAAATAAAAGGAGAAGAAATATAGATGGATATAAAGGAAGCCTTTTGTGAGGTAGGAAAAGGAAAGAGAGCAGATTTGTGGAGGTGAGAAAGCAGCCTTTTTTTTTTTCATTTTTCACTCCACTATTTGTGGCACTGCTGATGTGTACACCCCACTGCAATGCTATCAAAGTCTCCCTGAAGAGCTCCCCCCTCCCAACTTTATGAAATTAAAAACCTAAATGACTGGAGAAGACCTTAAAGAACCACAGCCTCTGCAGCCTCAGAAATTACAGTCTTGTAGTAAACATGCACTCTTTTTTGCCATTTTGCAATCTCTATGGATTTCAGCGGATTATTAGACACACACACACACACACACACACACACACACACAACTTTTGATTTGGATCATCATTCCGTTTCTATTTTAACTCTCTGCGCAGCCCCGTACTTTTCTGAGAGATTTTCAATCTTGATGCAACCTGAAACCCATATGATGTCTGCAAAAGCCATGCCACATTAATGCCTCGCAAATCCTTAACTGGCAAATGTTGTGAGTGCACAGGGCACTCACTGGCCCTTGGGCTTGGTGGTTTGCCAACTGTGGCATAACTGCTGTGAATTTAGCTTGGAGCGAAATGCATGCACTAAATAGCCTTTAACCAGGGCCGTAAAGACTTCATTAAGCCTGTGTGTGACAGCAGTGCGAGTGTGCATGTGTGTTTCTATGGTGTCATATTGGTATATCATGGCTTGTTATCTGTCAGACTGGCTGTATCTCTGTCTTGAACATGTCCCCACAGGGCCTCCGAGTCTTTACTGACTTGACAAAGACACTAACTTCAAGTGTCACTAGACGATATTTAGATCAAGATATGTGATCAACACGTAGTTGGATTTGAAAGATTTCGCTGTTGTGGCGCAGATATCGACTTAATTGTTTATGAATTTAATACAATGGTACCACCTGTGTGTTATTGATGTATCAGAATGCACTAAAATCCAATTTTAACTGTCTAAAGTGTAAACAATGATGAGAGTAAAAAGATAAGAAATATAAATAGATATAGAGGAAGGTGAGTTAGGGGAAGTGAAGAGAGCAGATTTGTGGCCATGTCATCCTCTGACCCAACCTTGCTGCCATGTCCTTTTTTGGACGAAGAGAGAATTTAATTCCTGTGACGATGTTGTACACTCCACTCGCTTGGATTATCCTCTAAGCCCTTTGCACAGTATTATTTCATTTTTTACGTACTTGCATTTATGCTTGTGTATGTGTGTGTGTGTGTGTGTGTGTGTGTGTGTGTGTGTGTGATTTGAGTGGAAGTGTCCCATCCAGGGTCACTGTAGCAGCATGTATAGGCTTATTTTCAGACAAATGAACGTCTCATAATAACGTGCCTCCGAACAGTGCTAGAGCTCAGGCCATTTAAATTCCTGACAAAATCCAGAAGGAAAACAAAACAACACTCTGACCCTTTGCAGCTTTTTAATGCAATCTGCTACTGCTGCTTGCTTCTTTTGGGAAGCTTATCACACATTTAATGCCATTTTTCCAGTTGGCAGAAAAAAGAATGGCTTCGTTTTCCTTTGTAAAACATTACAGAGAACTTTAGTTTTCTGGAAGAAGCTTTCTCTGGAAGAAAATAAGCATGCCAAAGCTTATCTTAACAATACATGATCCAGGAAATAGCTAAGTGGTGTATCTAAAAAGGCATTTACAGAATTTAGGGGCATAGTTAGTTTATACATTACAGATAAAATTATTCTTTTTTATTGAATAATAGTCATTATTTTTTGCATTTATAGTCGCTTGTCAAAGCTCTGCATGTGCTACTGAACTGTTAACATAAATAATGACACCTTAAGTTCAATGACGACTCAAATCAAAACTGTATGTCTTAGTGGAAATAATCGGCCATGAACACTGTAGTCTCCTGACCCAGACTGGAGCTTTGACTGTTCGCTAAGCCTATAGGATCTTTTACGCAGGGTCTTTTTCAAAAAAGAGGAGAGACTTAGTCATGTTTTCTGCTTTAGCAATCACAAGTTCTGCACATTAGCTTAAGCTGCTCAGATGATCAGAAAGACTGCAGCAGTAAAGCAAGACTCTACACTGTGTGGGAGAACCTTTGCCCTTGTATTGCCAATGAATACCACACACACACACACACACACACACACAGAACTTCAATATTGAGCTTACAGTGATTCCACACACAGGTGGTCAAAAACATGCTTTTCTAGCCAGTGATCATTGATTTTACCACCTGAAATGAAAACTACACCGTGTAGATTTTATCCTCTGCAGCTCAATTGCTAAATTATTGCACTTACTTAACTCTCTTCGTTGAAAACTGTGTCTGGCTGAGTTACTTGAAACTAACAGCTATGTACATTAGGATGCTAAACCACAGAGAGAGGATAACGCTACATCTTCCGTGCCAAACGTGAGCATCATCAACACACCACTAATGACTGATAAAGATGACGGTGCAGCATTGTTTCTAGCATTGTTTTGCAAGGTGGTGTTAGTTAGCTCCAAGGAAAATGTAATCTGTTAATGTTCCTTTGCAAACTCTGTCAAACTAAATATACATTAGGTTAATGGACTCATGAAGCTCATATCATCACAACATTTCCCCTGATCTAGAAAACAAATTTACCCCACATCTGCAAAACTGTAAAATCGGACGATTTTAATCTAATGTTGCATTTCATTCACATCAGAGATGGGAATTTAAAAGTTGGATATTCAGAATGTTAAAGTTGAAGTAATTATCTGTCAAATGGAAATGATTGCTGGCTAAACTCCTCTTCTTATATTTACAACATCGGCAGAGTTTAATTGGATTCATCATTGAAACAAAGGCAGAGAAACAACAAATATAAGAGTTACACCTCATATTTTATACCAGTATAGTCAGAATATTAAACGCAATTGTCTTTCAAGCACCACTCAGGTTACGCATTTCAGATAGCCTGTCATTTACTAACATAGCCCATGCACTGTTTGCTTCTGTGGATGCTGCCATGTTCAGTGAGGTCAGTGAAGCTACTTTTGGGTAAAGTTGGGGTGCATGAACTTTCCCAGTGGGTGAACAGATAGTGAAACATACTTGGACAAGAAACAGCATCTAGATGTAACATGCATGTGCTTTGTTATTTGTATTTGTCAATTTTATGATGAGATTTTGAGTTTGACAGCTAGTCGATACGTTTTACAAATGTAATGCTATTACAGGTGATGGGTTTGACTGGAGTTGTTGTACAAACTTTGCAGTAAAGAGCAGCTAAACGTCTAATATACATCAATATTGTGTAGCTCTCCTTTTTGACCCAAAACCAGCTCTGAATCCATCGGGGCATGGACGGGGGACCTCTGGAGGTGTCCTGTCGTGTCTGGATCTGGGACTTTGGCAACCGTCCTTTGGGTCCTGTGGTTTGTGGGGTTGAGTCTCTGTGGATTGAGATTGTTCCGGTATAATCAGACTTGGATCTGGAGGTCAGGTTAATGCCTCGGGCTCTTGTGTTATGTTCCATAGAGATGAGTTCCTGGTGTCCTGCTGGGGGAGGCCACTGACGCTGAGGAGAGTCGTTGTTGTCTGCTGGTTTTGGAAGGTGGTATGTGTCAAAGTAA